ATAAATGTCACGCAAAGCTACAAAGTTTTATCTGGCATCAGCTTTATGCTTGTTGCATTTTCTTCGTTCCCATCTCTAAGATAAAACAGCTGTTTTTTATTTTTCTTCGCCGGTTTTTATTTAGCCGTGCAGTGAGGTCATCTGCTATACATACTTGCATTTATTTTTTTTACAATATTGAGTGATTTTTTTAGCAAAAGTTGAGTTGTTTATATGATTCTCAGTTTACTTAATACCACTGCGTTGTTAGTTTTCAAGCGCACATCATTTACAATGCCACGCGGGAGGACTTTGCTAAACGTTGTATCGGAGTTGGAGAAGTTCGCGCCACTTAATTTAGCGGAAAAATGGGATAATGTGGGTCTACTGATCGAGCCTCCAAAAGAAAGGTAAACCACAGATTTTTAAATATGAATTTCCATGTACCATGTATCTGCTTTTTTTTAAGATCCATACGAAAAATTCTGCTGACCAACGACTTAACTGAGCGTGTAATGAAGGAAGCTGTAGAACAAGCCACCGACCTGATTGTGTCTTATCATCCACCAATATTTGCCCCACTCAAACGCATTACACAAAAGTAAGTTTATCATAGAGCAAAATGTATAAAAATTTTCTTACCCAATATTGTGTAATGCATACTTAATTCGTTTATATGTATGTATTTATCTTCATCTGCAGAAATTGGAAAGAACGAATTGTTTCTATTTGCTTAGCAGAGGGCATTGCATTATACTCACCACATACGGCTTGGGATGCGGTGCCTGGTGGAGTGAATGACTGGTTATCTTCTGCACTACCGTGCATTGATATGCAGCCAATACAGGTAAGTGAAAACCGAAAAAAAAAACCCGGGGAAACTTTCCTTTACGGCCCTGGCGGGCAGAGGGGGAGGGGCATGGCACCTCACACACCGCGTTTTAGGGGGTTATGAACTGCCTTTTTCAAAAATGTAACTCCCAAATGCCCAGGCCCCTTATATGTCCCTGGAGAGCCTTTCCAAAAATGGGCAAAGGTCCAATTTTTGCTTGCGTTTTCGCTTGTTTCGAGTTGATGACTTCAGCCTTTCCGTTTTGTCTGATAACAGGAGGCCGCCAAGGGTATATAACATTTCTTGTGCATAAAGGCGAAGACCCCAGGCTCCAGAGGCTTCTATTGAGAAAGTTCATTCTGCGTTAGCGGCTTTCGGCGCAACACCTTTGGCACAGAACACCTTTCTGGGTTGGCGTCCTTCGGCCGCGCTTAGGGATTATAACCCTCACTAAGCAGAATTCACCTTTCTGTTAGTTAATAATAAAAAAGTACTTTTAAACTAAAGTTTAATTCCTTAGAAACGTATGCTTGTGAAAACATTAAATTCAGCCCACCGTTTCCGACGTAATTTGTGAAACAAAATCGGCCGTTAAGGAGAGCTACCCAAAAATGCAACTTTTTCAAAACGCTTTCAATAAGATAACGCATTTCAAAACGCATTCATTTTTAAGAAAAATGTTCTTGCTACCCAAAGCGAGCCATACATTTAATTATTAATAATCTCCAAAAATAGCTATTGGCATGCACACTTCTTTAAAACAGTTTCGCTGCTATCAACGAGCCTGCAGATATAGTACAGAGGGTAATATTAACTGCATTTTCGACAGAGGATATGTCTTTCAATCGTGACAGTTAGCCTAACGACTTTGACATCTTTAATACATATATAGTCTGTTCTAATGGCAGTCCGATTTAGAGGATTTAGTCAGAACTTACAGGAAATCGTTCCTATAGACAAAACCTGTAAGTGAAAATACTTTTGAGAGAGTAACTGAGCAACTGTTCCTAGCAAGAAGTTACAGGATTTAGTCGGGATTTTTTTACTGTAAGTTCATGAAAAGTGTCAAACGATGGGCAGAGCTGAATGGGAAAACAAAAACAGAACGCGGTGGAAGCAAAGAACCATGTATTTGTTAAAAATTGGAAGTAAACAGCGAAATATTTGAATATGTATAGATTTTAATAATTATTTAGTGATATTTCAGCCAAATCTGTGTTGTGATAATGGCATGTAAACAAACCGACTGACGTTTTTACAGGAAATAGTGCTTTTTGCGTTCCCGTATACTTCTGCATCTGTTCTCCTTGAGAGAGTAAAATTGTAGTTTAACAGTTCCACAGGTTTTAGTCCGAAGTTCAAAGGAACAGACCAAATGATAAGTCATCCGTTTTAATTTGTCGTAGTTGGACCGAACATGTAGTTCTCTCTTGATTACTCTCAATGCACAGCTTATTCTCTCCGCCTCGAATCCGTCGAAAACATGCTTCGGCCATAGCTAATTCAACGGCCCGTACCCTGTGAGATTCCTCTTGAATGAGATGGTGTGTTGATGGTTGTAAATGCAAATTCCAAAAATTGTTGTTGTAGCGGCTACTAAGCCCCGCACGGGTCGGTTCATCCGTCAACGTTGTCGTCCGTTTCTGCTAAGGGGACAGGGGCGTCAGCTGGGTTCTCAGTTGTCTATTGATTGGACTATCGAGCTCGCAATAGCTGAAGGTCTTCAAATTGATCATTGGTATTGCCAGCTGCCTTAGCTGAGCGGAGTTATACATACAGACTGAAACTGTTAATTGCGATTTGTATTAGTAGTTGACCCGTGTGAGCCATTGGCCTCTGAGTGAGTAAAAACATATTAGGATTTCTAAGGATTCTTCAGCTGTGAGGTTTTTTGTTTAAAATATTAGTTTTATATAAAAGTTTATATGCGATGACTATTTTTTTGCTAGAAATTATTGATGATCACAATTGAAGTATGGATTTCACTGTGCATACTTATCATTCTCTTTTTCTGCCCCTTTTTCCATTATAGACATCCCTTCACTTTCTTTGACTTCTTTGCTTATTGAGTTCTCCTCCACTGATTTTCCATTCTTGCGCCAGAAGCACAGTTTGAGAAAATAGATAAGCAGCAAAGGTAAAGGCGTCAACAATGCGTTGGCTATTGGCACAACACTCGTCATATCTGCTTGTGGCTGTGGTAATGTGAAATTCAACATAAACATGGGAATCCCGACATTGAGTATGCCAGTCTCAATAGAAATAGTAATAGCATCCTTTGCCGGTTGACCCAGAAGAGTAGCCAAAAGCCAACCGATTATATAGCCCAGCCACGGCAGTACACAACTACCGATTAAAATCTGTGAAATAAATAAAAAAAGTTATAAATGTATAAATTAATTCATATAACTCCTCAATTAACCTACCTCAATAGACAACAGTTTGAATATGAAGGAATTGATAATGCAGCCGAAAATTATTATGGATAGAATAAGCAACAATGAAATTGGCTTCAGCAGCTTGGAAATTCTGCTCGTAACTTCGGGTGCATACTTCTGCAGCATGAGACCCACGGCAATCGGCACAACTAGCGTAAACGAGATGACGGCAATTGTGTTGTAAGGAATAGCAAAATTTCCATCGCGAAATATTAATGCCCCCAATGTGAAGATCCACAATGGCATCATGACAAATGCCGCTAAATTGCTTATCGTCGTCATCGTAATGGACAAGCTGAGATTTCCATCCAGCAGCACAGCAAACATATTAGATGCGCCACCTGCTGGGGAAACGCCCAAGAAAAATAGTCCCAAACGTAACTCTATCATTTCACGAAAGAGAAAATAGCCAATTAAAAAACTCAGAACAGGCATCACACCAAACTGACAAAACAAGCCAATAGCTGGGCCCACTGGGCGTATCACAATAGCTTTCAAATCGGCCAAGTCCAAAACAGCGCCGAAATTTACATAGATAATTATCACAAAACTTGCAATGCATACGTTAAAAATAATATCGATCAAATTCATTGGTCTAGTCACAATAATTTTCATCAACTGTTGCGATATTTGCGGTTCATGGCTGTTCTTTTGTAGTTCCATGTGAACACTCGTGTATCCCAAAAATATAGCGTTGGCAGTGAAGTTTCCTTTTAGCAACGTTTTTCCCTCCACAAGGCTGGATATCATGTTAACATGATCTATATATATGACCTCGTCATTTTCGTTCAATACGTGCAGTTCAAAATCAGGGCCCCAAGACGATTCTATGTCAGTGATGGTAAAGGATACATTACGGGACTGTTGCATTGTCATATTTAACTGTTCAAATTCGAACTGCACATACCAAATGGGTGATTTTAAGTGATCAGTAACGTCTGTTACGTCACCGGTTCCGTGCCTTGCGCACAACAATGCGAGCAGCCAGAGAAGCTGCATTTTGAACTCCTTTTTTTTCACAAGTCCTCCAAAAGCGTTATCTAGTGTGCTCACCGTCACCGAATCGTATACCGAATGTTTTAATTATTAGATAGTTATAAAGTTTTAGCCCAAGTTGAGCGCGCACGCAGCTATTAGCGCCCGAGTACCGATTGCCATGAATCGCTAACTCTTAGTAGAGGTGTGTGCTATTTTTTCTTTTTAATAGTGGCTTATTATTTGCCTGAATATACAAACATATGTAGATACATACATATGTATGTATGTGCATACGTCCTTATGTAGTGTGATGTAAGCAATACTCAAGGCGTTAATTATCTGAAAATATATATGTAGATTTTAAATTTAATTCAGTAATAAGTTGATAGTAAAAAAAAAATATTTTTAAAACAAGCTTTCTAAATATGAATGAAATCGGACCTCAAATACTGGTTCACCAAATAAGTATATCAACTCCTGCGCCACCTACCGACAAAATTTTATGTGGAGTTATTCCTCATTCATGTAATTAATATACGTTCTTAATAGGAACGAAATCGAACTATAAATATGTGCGGGTTTTTCAAATATCTCGACTCCTGCGGTATATGTCTTATTAATTCATCTTTCGTATTGCATTGTCATCGGGTTCTGAGCCAACTGCGAAGTCTAAAGTATCCAGGTCATCGGCGAGTTGGTCAAAAATGTGTTGCAAGATTTGCCCCAAACAAACATACATACTTACATACTTGCAGAGCAAGTTAAATAAAAGCTTGTAAAAAATAATAAATTTTCACTTAGAAAAATGTAGTGTATGTATGTTTTACTGCAATATAGAATGGATCTATTTAACATTACAAGGTAATTAAAAAAAACGTCTGTGCAAATTAGAGTAATCAATGAAGCTTTTCTCCCGTAAATAATTTTTCCCAACAGACAATTTCAGGAGTTTAAGGCAGAGACCATAACGATTATAAGGAATAAAATTAAACATTGCTCTATAATTATTACTGAACAATGGAAAAGTTGTTTTCGTAAATTATTTTCATTTTCTCATAATAATTATATGGGATTTTTATTTGTTTCGTCTCCCGGGACGTTTATTTCAAAACGGAAATGATTTACGCCTTCACTTAATAATTATATGGGACTTTTATTGAAATGAAACTTCTTAATTGAGTTCGGAGATTTGACGCGTTATATATTTAACGCCACGATTGTTCATGTCATCAAATCTGTATCGTTCGTTAGATTTTCAAAAATGGGGTGTCAAATTAAAAGGGCTTTGCTTTTACGTGGTTTTGGGTTTTTGAAAAGGGTTGCCAGATGTTAGTAAATAAAATTCCAATAATTTAGCTCGGAGATGTTTGCGTTTAATTTCGTGAAATCGGCAGTACATGTACCCATTCTATTAAGAGAAAACATGGGACGTAAATCATTGTCGTCTTGAAATAAACATCACGAAAGACGAGAAAGATAAAAGTCGCATATAATTATTATGAAAAGACGTAAATAATATTCGTCTTGAAATAAACCATCCCGAGAGACGAGAAAAATAAAAATCACATATAATTATTATGAATTGACGTAGATAATTTCCATCTGAAAATAATCGTCACCCTAGAGGAAAAAAGATATTTCTCGTAAATAATTATTATACAAAGACGAAAAAATATTCTCTTAAATCGAGGCGACATTTTTGATCTCAAATATTAGGATAATAATTATTTTGGGTCTCTTTCACTTAAGAAGATCTAACTAAATTATCTCCTGGGTCTGGCTATGAAATACGTATATACCAATCGGTACAGAAAAACGGCCTGAATCATCAAAATGTTGATGGATAACTCGATGAACTTTTTGTTTAAGAGATATCTATACATACATATATATATATATGAAATTTTTTATAATTTTTTTTTTACTGCATTTCTAAACAGTTCGTCTGAATCCAATGGAATTTCGACTTCTTTGAGTATACCCAAGGCACATTAAACAGGTAGTATCAGTAGAGCAAAAACAACATTTGCGTGTATTTTGTTGTTGCTTCTGGTATCGAAAGTGTCAACAACTGTTCTGAATTTTTTCTTCTAAATCAAAGCGTGCCATGTGAAATACAAAAAATTATAAAAAATAAAAAATTTAAATTGGAAAAAATAAAAATTGATGCAACTTTCTTTCCTAGTAAATTTGTTTGCTTCTCGAAGCATTGATCCATCCTTTGCAAGGCCCAGTAATCAGCGGTCGTGCTGCCGAGTTGGGCGAACGTTCCAAAAGCTGCTATTCAATCGCTTGTTTTGTATGGAAAAAGGTTTCACATGCAAATGGATTTAAACAATTCAGAATTTTTGTGAGAAAAAATTAAAAATATTTGACATTTTCGAGACCAAATAATTTGAAAATAAATCAAATCAGCTGCTCTACTGATACTACCTGTTCAATGTACCTTGAGTATACCCCATATTGTTTATGCCGTTCTTGTAACAGCAGTGTTCAATCCCACGAGGTATCGCCAAGTAGTTATTTATGGTGTTTGCCACTTCTGAGTACAACAGAGTGAGGCAGAAGTGGTTCTGTTTTCTCGTCATTAATGTTCGGTGGTCAAGCTCCTTAAGCAAGGATGTCCCTACGGGTGCTGAGACTCGTACTGACTGCATCGCTTTGTAGGTTGTTAGATATATATAGAGTATGTACAGCGACCAGTAGGTATATTTCGCCCTCAGGTTATCACAACACTACATACATCTCACCCTAAGGACTCCATAAATTTGAGAATAGATCCCGGAGGTAGGGCATGTATGTGCTGTTGTTGTTGTTGTAACAGCATACAAATTCCCCAAAGAGATTTTGGGAGTGTTGCTGGAGTGACAGTCCTTGGCCAGATATAAATCTGGGTCGTTCCGGTTACGTAGACCCGACTGTCGTGGGAACGGCATGTATGTGCTCTTCTCTTTTCCTTAAATGTTATATGCACCTCTCTCTTCTCCGTAAAACGGCCTCATACTCCAGGATGGGGTACAATAATGTCTCTTTGGGGGATCCGAAACAGAGTGTTGTTAGGTTGGCTTTCTCGGTGACATCCCACTGGAAATTGCTTCAATAATATGGTGTTATGCTCTTTCACCGCCAGCATCTGGCTTTCTTTCTATGGTAGATTCGATATAGGGGCTACTAAGTTGCACATGCAATATGTATGTATGTTCATATAAGGTGGTGTTACCCAAGGCGAATTTTTATAAGGAGGAGAAAGAATACAAAAGCAAAAATTCCATGTATTTTGTATTACGGGTATTATGTCAAAATCTCAATTCGCCCAAAAATTTACATGTACATATGTATTTTGTTTTTGGATGGGTGTTCTCTGGCACTTAGTTTTTGCAGATACAGTTGTCCACAAAATAATAGGAGTGCGATATTTTGACCAGTTTTGGCTATTTGTCTTTTGTTTATTTAATGTTTATTATTTTTTTATAAAAGCCTAGCTGGCTATACAACAAACACCATATAAATTCAGATTTTAAACTTTGTATAAAAATTATAAAAATTTTGCAATTTTTCACCCAAATTTCAAACTTTTTAATCAGAATCTTTAGAAAAAATTCTGGTATGCAGTTTTGTAGCACATTCAATTCTAGTCTGAAGAAGTGCAAGTTTCAAGCGGCTAAAAAATTCCGTTGATTTTTGAGAATTTTTTTGGTTAAAGGTGTTTCACGTTTTTTCCATACAAAGTATGTCGACAATTTTCTTTTATATGGAGGACACTGCCAGCAAAAAAATTGCCAAAAATCAACGGAATTTTTTAGCCGCTTGAAACTTGCACTTCTTCAGACAGATTCTGATTAAAAAGTTTGAAATTTGGGTGAAAAATTGCAAAATTTTTATAATTTTTATACAAAGTTTAAAATCTGGATTTATATGGTGTTTGTTGTATAGCCAGCTAGGCTTTTATAAAAAAATAATAAACATTAAATAAACAAAAAACAAATAGCCAAAACTGGTCAAAATATCGCACTCCTATTATTTTGTGGACAACTGTATATGTACATACACAACTTGCATTTTTGGCATATATTGCCAATTGTGGAAAAATTTGATATAAATTCAGCAAATACCAAAATGCTCGAAACCCGCTCGAATGATGTTGTTTTTGTTTTCTTTAATCAAAAATTCAAGTGTTTTCATTTCTTTTGGTATGTGGTTGATATCATGATAAAAACATAGTAAGAAGAACCCTTCTCTCAATTCGTCGGCCATGATTTTTTTTTGAAGTTTGCCAGCAAGGCGAATTTATACAAGGTGGTGTTAACTGAACAAAGACAAAGAATACAACAACAAATTATACGCACATTGACAATCAGTACTAAACAAAATTACAACAAACGCATCATTTTGACAAAAGGTAAAAATTCGCCCTAAAATCAGCGGATCCGATAACGACCCACATTTATATTTGGCCAAGGACTGTCACTCCATCAGCACTCCCCAAAAACTGTTTGGGGAGCTTGTATGCTGCTATAACAACAACAACAACACCACCACCTTGTATAGATTCGCCTTGCTTGCCAGCAACGTCTACGATTTGCAGGTATTGCAGTATTTAGTCCAAAGTCATTCCCGTACGCCACGTTCACATAAGGTTTATTAAAGGCAAAAACAGCTGTTCCTGTAAAACCTACAAATTCTGGGGTACAGGAACAGGCTGCATATAAAACTGAAAGTGAAAAAATGAATTTGTCCAAATTTATGTTTTTTGAGATTGTAAATCAGAATGTTTGTGTGAGAATGCTAAAAGTGTCTCTCAGCGGTTCTTCCTTACAATATTTTTATTATGGTTGTTTATATCTTCTAAGTATGTTTACATATTTGATTCAAATCTATTGGCATAAATGATTTGATATACAAAATATCTTTGTCATTTTGTAAGCATGTGCATACGCTGGAAGTGGGAGAAAGAGACAAAAAGTATGTGTGTGTATTTTGGCTTTTGAGTAACAGATGGCGCAGCTCCGGAGAAATATAACCTCTTCGCAGCATATGTATGCACATTAGGGTGGTCCTTAAATGTACGAAGAAAATTTTTACATCAGATTTCCTAAGCCTCAACCTCTATGTCGATGCTAC